CTCTTCCGATCTTATCAATTCTATTCAATATCTTCTACATAAACACTTCAATGTTACAGTTATAAATAAAAAGAAACAAAAAAGTGATTTCTTTTGTTATAATTGATCAAGTTGTAAGTATTATTCAAACAGCTTGACTATATATTTGAATGATAAGTGCAATTCATGCAAAAAATAGTTAGAAGCATTACAAATAATGCTGCACTCATACTAACTTAAAAAAAAATCTATACCTGATACTGTTGCATTGTAGCAACGTTTTGCTCCAAGAGATCGTTTAATTGAATCATATTTTAGTCGTGTTCATTATCTGATTATCGTCTTGTTATAGTGTTTATATAATTAACAAGGACTAAATATCTAATTCTAGGTATAACGTATATATAAGTGTATATGAGTGACTTAAAAAACTGAGATATTAATATTGAAAATATTCATTACTCTTATTCGTTTGGATTTTTTTACGAATGTACAATGGACTGTTGATAACCAGTAATTCTACTCACATTATCTTTTTCAGTTATTGAATGTAATATTATTACATTGACGTTATGATCTTTCTGTAAAAAATGATTTCTTAAAAAACATATTTCGCGAAATATATTGATAATACAATTATTAACAAGGCATTTTATATGATCATGTTCTACGTCAAATGTAAAATATACAGACAAATCATTGTCACCATGCTCTGATAAGAGTAGCAGGACTTTGAAGAAAAAGGGAAAATTATCATAAGGATTCCATGATAATTCTTCTTAAAATTCTCCAACTAACAAATTTGCATTAGGAAACCTTAAGAAAATAACACGTTATCGTCATTTTTTCTAAAAAGTATCTTGTTACTGTTATTCGTCACTGATTTTAAAAAGTAATGTGTTACTTTAAAGTAATGATTTGTTACTTTTTTATAATACTAGTATATGTTTAATTAGATTTTAAATTTATATTATTTGGTAATTATTATTATAAATGTAACAGTAAATATTAAACCTTAAAACTCTTTAAACTTTTCCATCAAGTGTCGTGCTGGCGGTAGAAGTAAAAATTGTTAAAAAATTGTTTATAACATAACATAATATATAAGCAAAACAACTTTTGAAAATGATTTACTCGCGTAAAACTTGTAATAAATATCATAATAAGTCAGAACTATCGCCAAAATCGAAACTTGTCAGTAGAACATCTTTCCATCAAATATCGTGCTGCCGTGGATATTCAGAATTGTGTTAAAATGATTAATTGTTGCACTTTTGTCTTGAAACGCTATATAATTATAAAATTAACTTAGGATTAACGGAAACACTTGACAGATATTGTAATATTTGACGATATAGTATTTTAGAGCGAGATGTGCAGAACTAAAATGTGAAGTATAGCACGTTATTTTTTAATTTCTTATTTTTGGTATTAAAAATGCGGAACATTTTTTAATGTTAAATATCAAAAACAATAGAACTATGGGAAGTGCTATTGTAACTATATTATTGTTTTTTAAAAATTAAAAAATGTATTAATTTCACAAACACTTTCTTAAATGCTTATACTTACAGATAGAACTAATCAATCACAATTAATGCATAAGAGAAACGAAAATATAGACTAATGTAATTAACTATTACAGTATCATTTTTCATTTCGCAAATGAGTACAATATATAAAGAGAACGTGACTATTCACCTCATTGTATGTTTGTATGTTGTAATTTTTGACTGATAATATATAAAATTTGAAGATGTATGATAGAAATTTTGAAATATATTTCTTTTTTTCTCATTTTTTAAAACGCTTTTTAAAGATGTAACACTGAAAATTTTTTTCGGCTAAAAGATATTTAACGATACAAAGAAGGGCAAAAATAATTTTTAGCTAAAGATACTATTGTAAGTTATTTATTTATTTTATTTACTATTGCATAGTAACAAACGAAACTTAAGTTACGAAATGAGAAAATTTTAACATATCTCTTAGAAAAATATATTTTT